AGAATGAGGCGTCAAACCAGGAGCAGTGGACAGGTAAAGAGCATTTCGTTCCACCCGTCTCTGAGCTGTGGGCTGGAGTTTAATTGAAGTGCCTGGGTACCATGGCGATGCAAGCTTTACAGAGCTCTATAAATACCCGGGGAGAGGCTGCTTTCAGCCAGCCTGCTGGTTACTGCACCCACCCCCGTTCCCACCAGGGCTCCTCTTCTGCTGCCGGGGCGGGAGAGGCGGAAAGCTCTGCAGGGACTCCCCCCTCCGCTCACTCTGCCTTTCTCCTCTCCACACCCCGCCCTTGAAACCCAGATTTCATCTCCTCCCCCCGCTTCCGTGCGGAATTCCTCTCCTCGTTAGTGAAAGACAACAGCTCCCAGCCCCAGAGGACTCTTGGATGGGGGAGTCGAAACCGTCCCCGCCAGCCCCGGGGATGTCGTGTCCGGGAGAAACCCGGTCCATTTAATGAATGAACCAGCCAGGAGAAGGGGGTGAGGAGGAGGCAGGCGGCACAGGGCGAAAGTGCCCTCCTCCAGGGAGACAGCCAGCCCACCAGGTTCCCTGAGAGCCAGCCCGGCGTCTGCCGCTGCTCTGGTGGATGGAGGTCAAAGCCACGGTGACCTATCTTCAACTGAGGCTTGGAACACCCACTTCAGCTCTGCCCTTCCGACCTCAGCATGTGCCCTCCCACCTCCCGCCACTCCAGACACATGTGCCATCCAAAGGAAGGGAGCGCAAGACTAGTCTCCTGGCCGCCCCTCTGGCCCCTTCCAAGCAGACTGTTTGTGCCCGAAATCCCTCCTTCGTCGTCATGGTAGAGCCCACACTGCTGTGAACTCACACGTAAAACCCACTGGGAGCTGAGTTGGAATCTTGGCCTCTATTATGTATGACGTGACCACAGGAAAGTCACTTCTCTGAGTCTCAGTTTACGCATCTGTAAGATGGGACTAATAAGAACCAGGGTAATGTGTCATGAGTCGTAGAAGCTCCATCTCCCTATTTGTAAAATAAGTAGGCAATGCTAGACTTATTTCGATTTTTTTTTCAAGCACTCTATGAAGCACTGAGGACCCAGAGATAAATAAGAAACCATCTCTATTGCCAAGGTTTCTTCCACCCTAATTTTCCTGGCTTAGGACGCACTTCCCCATCATTGAAAACAGAAAACAAAAAACAAAAAACACAACAGTCCATGGGCTCAGTTATGAACTTTAATGCATGACTAAAGAAAGGGGACATTATCAGCTTAGTCGCAGAAACGTAACTGTGTGTGTTCTTCAGATGGGTGGGAGATAAAGTCGTGGAGTCAAGAAAATTCTCAGCAGAGGTTTCCACAGCCTCTACTTCCTTGAAGAAAACGGAAGCTAACAGGAAACTGCTACTGATATATTTGCTTTTGTTTTTTAAGCTTAATTTCTCCTTACCATCTTTGTGAAATACATTACCCTGATACTGAAATTCTCTGAAACACGTGTGGAAACCAGCCTTTCTTCTTTGCTGTTGCCGTGGGGGAGAGGATTTAAGTGGGCGTCTTTATTAAAAACAGGATGACCTGTCCCAGGCACAGGTGTCTCCGGTGGGCCACCTGGATGTGAAAGCGAATGAAGAAAGGCTTGGCCTGTGGTCATTCTGCTGTGCCCTCCGACTCCGCTTACTGGCAGCCAGACACAGGCCCTGGAACAAGGCAGGAGAGGCCGGGCTGGCCTTCCATTCGGATTCCTGCGGCTCAGTCACCTGTAGAGTAACGTCCAAGTCCCCCATCACGTGGCTCAGCCGGTTTTACCTTTAATCCCTTTCACATTTGTCCTCAGCTTTGAAGAATGCCTGGGGATGATTCACCCACCATCACATGGGGCAGGCAGTCATCTGTTTCATTACCTCACCCTGCTTGCAGCTTCTGGAAGATAACCTGGGATTCTTTTGTTGGGGGATGGAGGTAAGAAGGATGGGCAAATAGACCAAGGCTTTAAGGAGTCAATTCCTACTCTGGTCTCGCCTTCCTGCTCCCCAGCCCAGGTCTAAAGGTCAAAAGGAACAAGCCATTTGGAAAATGCCCGGGCTTGGGCACCGGGGCTGGAAAGTTGAATTTGGCAGTCTAGAAGGTGTTTTCCCTTTACCAGTGAGCCAACCAGTGAGAAGGCTTGGTTGCAAAACAAGACAAAAACAAAATCAGAAATTAGGAGGACTGTCCCAAGCAACCACGCACAATGCTCAGGAAGGGGAAGGGCATGGGCTTGTGTTTGGAACAGAAGATGCTTGATGGGTTCACGTTTCACTGGGGTACGCTTATTGCCAGGCACTGGCGCCCCGAATGTACCGCGGCGAGGGCCCTGGGATGATGGCTTATTGCTGAGCGCCAAGCCCTCTGCATTTCCCTTCTCCTCTAGCCCTCACAACAGGCCTGCCGAGTCTGTATGACCATGATGTTTCCAGACCTAAGACTGAGACTTCCGCTGAGCCAGTTACTCAAGGGACTAGAAAATAGGGTGGATTTGGGACCCAAACAGACTGATTCCAGAGCTTTTGCTTCTCAGCCAAACAATTACGAAGCAAAGATCAACAGAGACAAGCATCCCTCAGCACCTGTAAGATTGCAGATCCAGGGGTCGGTCCAGGACCTGCAGAGTAGTCAGTCCTCACTCAACGTCATCCATAGGCTCTAGGACTTCAAACGAAACAATGAATGATGAAACCAACTTACTAAGAGCTAAGCTCCTATAGCCTTAATGTAGCAAAATGACATTTGAGGGCTCGCTATAATTAAAAAGTGAGAGAGAGAGAGAGAATAGGTTAATGTGAGCCCGAGTGCTTTAGTCTGGGTCTACTTATTAGCCGTGTCCCTGACCAATAGTACAGCATCTGGGAACTTCAGTTTTCTCATCAGTGAAATGAGGATAATCAGTAGTATTCCCTCCTCCAGAGGGTTGCTGTGAGGGTTAAATGAGCTCATGTGTGTGAAGCACCTAGTACCAGGTTGGCTTTACTTTTGAGCTACTGCCCTAATCACTAGTAGGAGGTTTTTACATAGTGAAGGCTTGGTCCAAGCAGAGGAAGTGTAGAGGACTGTGGGAATCCCCCATGAAAGGATGGGGAACTCCTACTATTGTTTGTTGGTGGCCAGTGTGAGGCCCAGGTTTCTGAACTTTTGGGCATGGCATCTATGGAATGAAGGAGGGAAGGAAGGGCCAACCGCCGCGTCCATAGGCCTGGCCTCGGGGAAGTAGTTGACTTTGCGGAAGGCATTTGAGGTGAGAAACTGCTATGGTGGGTCTTCTCTATTGAGGAGAAGACACCACAGACTTGGGATTGATTCCCTTCCTTGCTCAGCACACCTGGGCCCATAAACAAAAGATGCTGGCTCCTCAGGGAGACTGAGGATCCACCAAGCCCTGGGCTTCATTCCTCAGTCCAGGTTCCCGACATCTTCCCAGGGCACAAAACCGGTTAAACTCCCTCAGGAAACACAGGCAAGCCAGTTGATCCTCTGCTCAATCGTTTATTTAATTACGTATTTTTTGTATTTCGTTACATATTTTTCATTGCTCAAGAAATGTTGGGTCTGACTTTTTAAATGTCTTCTAATTTTTTTCAAGATGAAATTTTGCTTTGCTCTCTTTATTGTTTTTCAAAATCCCCTCCCCCCACGTCCGTAGCAGACCTCAATGTATCAAAGACGAGAACGCACGAGAAGCTGCTCGCCCACGGCCTGGGCCACGTTCCCTACCCTGTTTAGCTAAAAACAGCAACATCGTTACTATTACTTTTACAAAGTGCTCACTCTGCCACCCTCTGGAAGTCCTCCCGGGGGAGGCAATTCATGGCACTCCTAATTTTACGGACCCAGAGGACAGCCCGCTACATTTGCAAATGCGGAGGTGGGGGGATGGGTGAAACAACAGGGGGGAAGAATGGAGAAAGAGGGAGCCAGATGGTGCGTGTGTTGGGGGAAGGGATCAGAGATCCTGGGAAACTTATGCTCTCCGATTTACAAGAATGTTTCTCTTTAACCACTTCTTGCCTACTCCGGATTCTCCGTAACAGGGAAGCGGGGAGTTGTAAGATGTGGGGCCACCTGTGCCAAGAGCCTGGGCACCGGGTGGAGAGAGCCAGGAGCGTTGGGAAGCAGAGGCGCAGTGGGTCTTGCTCAGCCTCCCGGGGCTCCAGCCAGAGTCTGGGACCCAGGTAAGCGGAGGTCTCCCTTGGCCCAGACCCCGCGGCGCAGGGGCGGGCGGCCGGCGGTTCGGACAGTCCCGCGAGGGGGCGCGTCTCGGGCCCTAAGACCCGCCCCCGCGGCGCTGGGCGTGGGGAGGGGACCTGGAACCCAGGC